TGTGAAGAAACACTGAAGGAGTTAGGTCTTTTCTCCCTGGAGAAGAGAAGGCTCAGCGGATACCTCATCACAGTAATCCAGGACATAAAGTGTGGCCACAAAGAAGACAGAAGCTGTGTCTTCACAATGGAGAAGACAAGGGACATCAGGTACAAGCTGCCTCTGGACAGGTTTCATCTTAACTTAAGAAATAAATTTTTCACAGTCAGAGCAATCATCCACTGAAACAACCACCCCAGGGATATGGTAGTCCCCATCGCTGGAGGTTTTCAAGATGCAGTTGGACAGGATGCTAGACAATCTCATCCAGGTTCCCTTTCCCACGGAAGGTTGGACCAGATGATCCTTCGAGGTCCCTTCCAACCTGAGCTGTTCTATCATTCTATGATTCTATAATAATAAACTATAGGAACAATTTAGGAAGTGTCATGACATAATCTGTATTCACAGAAATGTTATTACGGGATAGGATATTGTTCTGAACCATTCACTCAGGTTTATATACAACTCTTACACTTGAACAGAGAGTTGACTAAAGAGGTCTCAGGTATATCTGTTGCCCTTACTTCATGTCTGTGTGGTAAAAGAGTCCACCTCTGCCTTTCTTCTTGCCAATATAGTGGCCCTTTGCTAGGCTTACTCCAGTTTGTTAATGTCTTTCTTGTACTCAGGACTCCAAAACTGGACGCAATAGTCCAGAACGGTCTTGGAAGTGCTGAAAAAGTGAGTATAAACACTGTTCTCAGTACTCTTGCTACATACTGGCTAATGTAGTGCAATACATGGTTAGCCTTTCCTGTTCCAAGGGAGCACTATTTACTCCTATACAACTTGTTGTCTACCAACAACCTTTCAGTGTTTTTTGTTAGAGCTGCTCCCTAGACATTTTTTCTCTCCTAATTATTCACTTTCTGATCATTTCTGTAAGATCACTCTTCAACTTTTCAAGATTCATCTGAGCAGCAGCCTTACTATCCAGCATATTAACTGCTCCCTGCAACTTGGTGTCAACCCCAAACTTGTTGACAGTGTGTTCCTTTCCATATAATTACAAACCAACAAATCATAGAATCATAGAATCATACCATTTTGTCTGGTAGAGTCAATATACTGGTTTCCCAGGTAATGAAAAGCAAAAGATTGTTCTGAAGGCACACTTCACAAGAGACTAGGGCAGGAGTTGAGTGACTATGAGGAAGAAAAAATTTAATTTAAATAGAAAAATAGAAATATTTTATATAAAAGCAAACAATGACAGCTGCTCTGATCAGCAATTGCTTGAGACTGAATGTGGACAGAAACAGTCAATGTGCACACAAATACCCCTCCTACCTGGCTATATTTCCACCCATTCTCATCTTACCCCATGTACCTGGAAATGCCGAAACAAATATGTGCTTTAATGTTAGTGTACACGATAATCTTTTAATCTTTATCCAATTCTGGGTAAAAGTATCAATTACAGAAATATCTTTGTCTCCTTCGACTTTTACACTGTAAGACTGATGTAAAGAAGCCATAGCATGAACAGGAACTTGGACCAAGACTTTTTTTGCCTCCGTGGAAAAATCAATAGACAAGATTCCATCTTGGTTATAGCAATGCCAATCTGGAGACACCTCAGTAGCCAGCTGAGTTTATGTGCTTTGCTGGTGATTAAGATCAAGTCTTACTACAACTGGATGTGTCAATCATTAGCAGAGAGCTTTTGTACGTGGCATTCACATTGACTGCTAATTTCACATATAAAGAGCAATACATACAAAAATTTCATTTCAGAGTATTTCATCTCTTCTATTACAAGAAGTAGAGGAAATTAAAATGGAACACAAGCAAACAACCTCTTTCTTGGAAGAATGCGCACTTGACAAATGTGCTGTTCTATCTGGTCACTGTTTGAATTTTATAATACCTGTGACACTGAGTCACCTTCTCCTATCAGGAAACAGAAGAGCTATAAATCGTCCTCCAGTGAAGAACCCTGGTCACTTCCACAACCACCTGAAGAAGGACGGAAGAAACTTCTGATCTTCCTGGAAACAAAAGGTAGAATTTACATTAATTCATTTGCTTAAAGTATTGCAATTTTTTTCATGTGTTAAAATGTAACCTATTGTCAGAAGACTTCTTGAACAATTTAGGACAGTCATAGAAAGAGGATTTCATTCAGTGAAAAATAAGGATTACATAGGCAACAGTGTAACATGAGCTGAAAAAAAAAGGAGAGAAAATTGATGAATAATCAAAAACAGATGAAAAGCCAACTGTATGCAAGAAAGCAGTATCTTGGCAGATTATATGTACGTAGAGAAAGATACAGAGACAGACCGAACACATTGAACTGGATATATATTCAGTTCAGTATATTCTATTGCTATATGTAGCTATTACCACTCATTTTCAGAGTGGGGAAATCACCATCTTGTGCAACTTGCTACTCTCATGCAAGGTGGCTGCTAAATAGGACTTTGTGCAATAATGTTGTACAAGTGAAATGACAGTTTGCATTATTCTGTCTTAGGTCTTTTGCAAGGACAATAAAAAAAATAGGAATGTTCTTTTGTGATAGGTATTTCATCGTATAAATAATTTAAGATACAATTTAATTTTTTTTTTTTTGAGGAAGAGGAGAGAATGGGAAAAACATATTCACACAAGTTTGCTAAACTCATACAAACTAGAGATGCTAAAGCACCATCTTTCAGTGGCAGAAAGATGTACACAGATGGAGTTACAGGAAAGTCAGTAAGACTTGGCACATGTCCTGATTTGTGTTTGATTGAGGGGGAACAGGGGAGGGGGACAGAGAGACTGATTTTAGGACCAGTGCCTAGAAATTAATGCAGAGCGATTAAATTTACATCTCATAAACTATAAGCATTTGGTTGAAATCGGTGGGATTGCCAAAAGTATGTTAATATCTTGGAGCAGGAAACCCATTGGGTCTTAAAAAGCATTCCAATGACATTTTGAAATCTGTATCATGTATTAAATTACCTATTATATTTAATTGTAAGTTAATTCATAGAAAAAATTACAGTGAATGAATACTTTGCCCATGTCTTTAAGTTAGTTTTTTCAGTTTGGTTTGCAAAATAGAAAGCTTCACAATTTCAATGAGTTATTCTTCCATTGAAACAGAGAAATTCTTTTACATATTTTAGGTGTAAAAAGGGTTGTTTTTTATTTGCATATTATCACATTTTGCACTCAAAAGACATTATTTTTGCTTGTAACTTGAATACAGTTAAAAATATCCCCCCCTCTATTTACTTTCTAGTTAGAGATGAAGTGAAAAGAATAATTTTTCGTGTTATTGGGAGTATAATCTTTTTTGCTAAACACCTAGGTCATAGACAGTGCAAAGTTTTCTAACAGCTCTGAGAAATAAGTACTAGAAAAGTTAATAAGAAAAAGCTTCTGTGATTCCAAAACACTTCAAGGAGCCATAGGTGGTGTCAACATTAAACATAAATGACATAAGGTAATAGCAAGAACAGGAAATCTATGACTTATACTGTTAATTACTAATGTGTTTTTCACCTGGATCGACTAGATCCTTCCTCAACTATAAGTGCTTGGAATAAACCACCCTACCTCTGAGGCTGTGATAGTTTCATTGTACAGATGTAGCCAGTCTGTCCAGTTTTTTTGGCCTTTGAGCTACAGCTGCACATAGTCACAGTCCATTTCAATGGGTTATGCTCTGTAGCAGAACTGGAGTAGCTCCCCTGCCTACAGGCTGGGGACTGGGTCACCTCCAGTGCAATGTAAGCAAGCTGGTGAGGAAAATAGGTTTTGCTGCACAATTTGGAAAAAGGGTAGTTTTTCTTGCCCACGTGTTCTCCACAAGCTGAAGTACCTTGTGTTTTATATAAATAGATTGTCTCAAGGTAAAGAGGCTTGCTGAATATGGGAAGATCAGCAAATCCTATTGGCCTTTCCCCAAGAATAAATTAAAACTAAAACCAGCAGCCCCTCAAAACCAAATAAGAAGCTAAGCTAATAATATATCTCTGTGGCAATATGCCCATAAATTCCCTTGGAGTAGGAGACTGGGAAAAATGCCAAAATAAGGAAATTCCACTCTAGTCACCTGCTTGCCTGCCCAAGGTAGCTAGGCGGAAACGAGCTGAATGTAACTCCTGTGACTAACTGCAGTCAGACACCAGAACTTTGAAGTGACCTATTACCTCCTGGGTCACTCTAGTGGGACAGTACAGTGCTTTGAACCTCCTAAGCAAGTAGAGTCTTGGAGTCCAGAGTCTAGTAGTTTCTCCTTCGATTCAAGAAGGCTGTCGTTTCTCTTGCCATTCCACACTACCTGTAATAGAATCAAGAGTTGTCATTAAAAAAATAAATAAAAAAAAAAGTGCTTATTGAAAGAAGCCTTTCCTAGGAAGCCAGTGCTGGTCCATTTCTGGTCCAGCCAGTTCTGCCCCAGCTCACGTGCAAGGCTTCGCAGTGCTGATCTTCAAATAAATGTATTGAAACCAGATTCGGACATCTAAGTGTAGAGGTCTGCACACCGGCTGAGTGTCTAACACCTCTCTCAATCAATGCAGTCCATTCAAAGCAGGCAATAAGGAATAGGGAAAGTTTTAGACTAATGCAGACACAGAAATTAGCTAAAAGCAGCATCCCATCTCAGCCTTTCCATAGCACGGCAATGAACAGAAGACTTCCTACAGGAAGAGAAGCATGAATGTGCTCCTGCACTGTGAATTGAGGTGAAGGTATTCAGCCAGATTTACAGCAAGAAGTATGAGATGTACGAAGCAGTTGACTCATTGAAATTTGGGAATTCAGAAGGGAATGAATTTTATTTTTTTACTTCTAAAATTAGGAGGAGGAGAAAAGAAGAAGAGAAAGAAAACATTACCTTATTACCTGAGAAAAAAACAGGAAATACACAGGAGAAAGATGCATTATGTATTCAGAGTAATGAAAGCTCCATGAAGGAAAAAATTAATTAAATCTTCATTCTCTTCTTTTCAGAGATGATTCTTCCAGTGGTGTTCCTGTGTCTCACAGCTGTGCTGTCTCTGTCCACTGGAGAGGTAAGACTGATGCTTTGTACTCGGAAAATCTGGATGGAACCTGACGCGGTCATGGTCCAACTGATTGTGGCTTTTCCTATGCACATTGATCAAATGCAGAGTCTGATTAGATATTTAGGATCTGGGAAGAATTTATCCTTGAAGCCCATTTAATTTCAAAGCAGTAGACTGGTTCCATACTTTGACACTAAACCATCTACAGGCTTAGTGTTACTTATGAGTTAGGTCAGAGATAACTATATTTTTCAGAAGATCCCACACACAGATCCAGTAATCTGGATCTCCCAATGATCCAGCCCTCTTCCTGTTAATTCCTCACACTTTTACAGGCAGCAGTTACCTAACTCCCTTACTTGTCCTACAGGTCCTGAGCTATGTGCCTCTCCCTTTGCTTACAGTCCCATCCTCTCTACATGTATCACTGATTTCCCTTAAGCAATTGAATGAACTAACATACTCAATGCACACTAAAAGTGGTTCCTCCCAACACATATTTAGTCTGAAGTTAGAAATTTGCTACTTCTGCAAACACATTAGAAACACTAATGTGACTGCAGGCCTGACTACATTTCCCCCTAATTTTTCAATTTCTGCTCTCCATGCTGTGGTCTAGAAGACTAGCGAGAGTGATTGTAAAGAGGAGGCTGAGTTCTTCACATGGTTATTTTTCAATGAGAAAACACATGAAGTTTGAGAAATGCTATCAGTTATGGCAGGAGTGGAAGAAAATCTATGGCATGAAAAACACAGGCACAATTTTTTGTTCAGTAAGATGTCCCGATGAAGTAGTACAAGAGGTCTGTGATGATCCTGTTATAAGATCAAGAGGTGATCTTATAAGATAAGACAACAGGTTCCTTCAGTAAAAAAAAAAGCATGTTTAAAATACTGAAGCACATTCATTTATTCAGCTGATTTTTAGATCATGTTTCCTCAAAACCTCGTGAAGGAAATTATCATAATAGTAAATGAAGACTGATTCAGCTGCTTAAATTTAAGGGTCTACAGGCACGCGAGATGTTCCAGGATATCTTAGCCATCCACAGGGGGTTGGCAGATATGACACAGGAACCAGTGTTATTACTGCTAAGCTCTATGCTGTGGAACCACTTAAAGTACTACTCCATGAGGAAGCATCCTTAGAGATACTTAGGAAACAAAGCATATCACAGTACCTTCTCCATCACAAGAATCATCTCCTTGGTTGTTATTTGTATTTTGGTATTTTAATATTTCCTAGACAGGATTCAGGATTTAGTTACATTCAAATAAAAAAGAAATGTAACATGTTTTTTCAATTTAGGAACCTGAGGGTTTCGATGCTCTGTCAACTAGCAAAGCAGATCAGCAAAATCTGATTGTTGACAGACATAATACCCTCAGGAGAGGAGTAAAACCAACTGCCAGCAACATGTTGAAGATGGTAAGTTGTGTGCTGTAAATCTATTTGCAATGAATAATGGACTCTATGAGAGATACAGGACTGTATTCAAGGTCACGTTATTTTATTTAGCCACAAATTCACCCTCCAGATCTTTCCCAACGGTTAAGTATGTCCAGCACCAAGAGAAACATAAAGCTGGGCAGGTGGAAAAAAAGGTCAGGAAAATTTTGGTGTATATGAACAAAAATGTCTTTCTTTGGGAGGAAAAAGAAAAGGAAAAGAAGGATCCATGGCATTGTCCGTTTCTTTCTGATGCATTCTTTATCAGTCTTCACAGTTTCTGTTCTTCTCCTGGCTGCACAGTAACTTTGTTTCTATCCTATCCCCCCCAAAAAAATGGGAAGAAAAGGATTTTTTATATATTTTTTCTAATTTGAAGTGTAATTTCCAAATGTTGCTCCTTCATGAGGGCTTACTAATTGGTATGTGTCTGAATGATTCATATTTTCTTCTCTCATTAAGGAATGGTCTCCTCCAGCTGCAAAGAATGCCCAAAAATGGGCCAATCAATGTTTCTTAAGTCACAGTCCTGCTAACATGAGGAGAACCAGTAAGTGAAGCATGAGAGCTAACTGAATAATGTCATATGTGTTATTGATGTGACCAATTTAGGTTTGTTTTTTTGGGGTTGGGTTTGGAGTTTTTTTTGAGATGTCATTTCTATGCCATGTGATTTTGATGATGCCTGGCAAAAATGCAAAATTTTAGATATAAACCTGTCCAGTAAGTGAGAAAAGTTCACTCTCATTCTCATCTCAAATGCCTCAGTTTTACATAGGTATATCTCACTTTCTTCAATAGGTGAAAAAAATTATAGTGAGAAAGAATATTCTCTCAAAATGTCCATCAGAAGGAAGAGAATCTAGACCTATTTTACTGCAGAAAATAGATTGTATGTACTGGACGAAACTGGGAAGGATGGGGCAAAGGGTGAAGATCCAAAACCAGCTGGTGGTGCTAAGCATAATTTCTGAGAAAGACAAGACTCATAGTTTTTAAATTCCCTGGCAACTTGCAACCTGTAACCATCTTGGAGGCTTATATAAGCACTTCAGTCATTGGATGTTGAAGCTACGGCTACACTATGTTGACAGCCATGATCAGTGCCCAATGTGGTGTTGACTGACTTCTGTCTCCACTGTGTGTAAGTTGTGGACTGTCCTTCAGTCTCCATACGTTTTGCCTAAAAAGCAAATCCTCTGGTTCTTGCTAAGGTGAATCTCAGATAAGAACTAATTTGTATGCAGTAGGGTTGGACCTGAATAAAAACAGCAGGTGAAGACAGTGTGGACACCTTCTTGTGTACCAGAAGTAAGCTTTGAATTATTGGGATTTTCACAAGATGACTGAGCTGTGACCTGAATAATGACTAGGTGGCTAACTTTCAAGTAGCAAAATTACAGTCATGAGTCTGTGGTGCACTTGTGCAGATGTATCTATAGACATGCAGAAGGTCTGACAATAACCAAACTACCAGACAAACAGGTTGACCATGCTGCAAACTGATCAAGTGACAACCTCAGTATTGACAAAGGGTGATGTCACTGAAGTGGAAAAAAACCCAACACTCTGCTGTCCCATCCAGGGTGAGAACTTCCATGGGAATCATATCGCCTTTTGCTGTCGTTTCCTCACACGTGTATGTTTTATTGATTTCTCAATGCTTCTCTCTTTTAAGCTGTGCAATGCGGTGAAAACCTTTTCATGTCATCTGGCCCTTTCTCATGGCCAGATGTTATTCAGGCATGGTACAATGAGGTGAAAGATTTCAAATACGGAACTGGAGCAAAAACACCAGGTGCTGTGATTGGCCATTACACTCAGGTAAATGCAACTTTTTTGTAGTTTAGGCTGAGTAAATAAATATCTATATGTTAACTAAGCAACATTTACCCTCTCATTGTATTTAAAGGGAATAAGTGCAATGAAGACATGAGAGTTATTCTGACAAAACAAGATAAAAACTTTCAAAATAATAAGCTAAGTGTCTTTGCAGACTAAAGAGTAAAGATGCCGGTATTTCAAAACTTTAGGAAGAAACAAAGGGAAGAAACTTATTTGTTCATGTAACATCTGAAAACTACTCAGACACTGGAAGAACAGGGTTATTAAAGTATCAGGAAGGAAATATAAATGGGTGTCTTACAGTCTACAAAGTTTCAGAGAGTGGACTCAGTGAGTTTACAGTTGGAAACTGTCTTATGATTATCTCCTCTGTTCACCTGCATGAAACACAGGATACAAAATTTTACATTATGATTCTTACATTTTCAACAGTATTAATTCAATGTAAACATTTGTAATTGCAACAGTTTAACTCAATATATATATATGTGATATATTATGATTACATCCTAAATGTTGTTTTGTTCAGGGGTGAAAGTAGGGGAAAAAAAAGTTTTTCCAGCAAGGTAGGACTTATATTTTACTGTAAAGGGTAAATAAAGTGACTTAACTTGGTTGAAAATGTTTCTTTAATGCATATTGTACTTAATTCATTTTCAAATTTCTATTTTTCATTCTCTCATGATTTTTATTTTTACACCTACAGGTGGTTTGGTACAATTCTTATCAAATTGGATGTGCTGTTGCTTTCTGTCCCAACAGTAAATACAAATATTTCTATGTATGCCAGTACTGCCCCATGTACGTATTGCTCAATTCTGCAACTTCTTATTACATCCTTATCAAAATTAGTCAAGAGGTGGTGAAATTTGTAACAGCACACATCACCTATACCTGAGGAATAGGTTGGAAAAGTGTATGAGGAATATAAAAAGACGGAAACATACTCATCAAAAGAATTGTCCAACAAGCAAAAGCATAAAACACATAGAAGTGACACTGATTTCCAGATTAAATTTTATCTGCCTAAAATCCCCAATTTTCATAATACTAAATCACAAACATGTATTTTCCACGTTACTTGAAATCTTGGTTCAGAACGGCATATCAATATGTACAATACAGTGAAAACTAAAATTAATACCAAAAAAGGCAGGGGAATCTCTGCTCCAGCTCCTGAGCAGACTTCTTCTTCACTGACCTTGGTGTCTGCAAAGTTGTTTCTCTTACATTTTCTCACTCCTCTCTCCAGCTGCGATTGCAAAGGGTTGTTTTTTTTTTTTCTGCTTCTTAAATGTGTCATTACAGAGGCACTACCACCGTTGCTGATGGGCTCAGCTTCAGGCAGCAGTGGGTCCAAACTGGAACCAGCTGGCACTGGCTCTGTCTGAAACAGGAGCAACTTCTGGTGTTATCTCACAGAAGCCACTCCTGCAAATTTCCCCCCCCACTCCACTACCAAAACCTTTCCAGATAAACCCAACACATATATAAAAATTGTTTGACATATAACCAAAAACTGAGTGCAAATTAATATATATATGTAACCATATAATTAAGTTTTATTCTCAAATATGTTATAGTGACTTTATAGCTTATGTTGGTAATGTTGATGTTTCAGGGGAAATCTACGAAGTTTGATTCGGACACCTTACAAAGAAGGAGAACCCTGTGGTGATTGCCCCAACGCTTGTGAGAATGGATTATGCAGTAAGTTTTAAGCATTTTAATTATGACTTGGGTAAAGTTAATGCATTTAAAAAATCCTGATTAATTTGTGCAAATGGAAAGGGTTTGAAATTATTTCTTCAAATACCAGGCCAAAAACACCACTACAGAGCCACACTTCAGCATGCTGGGTGTTTTACCTAGGTGGCACAACTTCTGGAGTGAAACCAAAGAGGACGGAGTCTATCACAAGGGTGGGCAAATGTTAGACAGTAGCTGGTGTACATTGGGACTCTCCACTTCATGGATCAAGACATTCATATGGCCTAGACACCTTCATTAAAGATTACAATGTCTGGGTCTCCATATGGAAACTCTCATGAATATTTCCAAGTGTAAGAAGATGCATTGATTGCAGTCAGGTCAAAGACACGTTTATACCAATGGTACCACAGAAATCTCAGCAGATTTCCAGCTGCAGTTTATATGCTTTTCCACACCCAGGAGAGGCAATTCTCACCCTTGAACCTAGGAAATGCTAAGAAAGGAGGAGACTTTTGTATCTTTTTTCCTTTTTCTTTCTTTGAACAATGGTGGCTGATCAGGTAGCAGTAGCAACAAACTTGAGAAGAGCAAATAGCAAATCTGAGTTTTAAGAATTCTAACGGAAAAGAGAAACATATGCTTTAAGTCTCATAATGCAAGACTTAAAGTCTAACATTTGTTAACGTAATTAACCTAATTCTCATCATGAGCTGTAGTATAAAGGAAGAAAGCTTCAAAATACCTTGCAAGTTCAGTGAGAAAACTCCTTGAAAGAGTTAAGAACTTTCTATGTGTGGTCAAAGGTTTGAGATGCTGTGGACTAAGCAGCAACAAAGAGGAAAAAATTACAGAAGAAACAAATATTGATGAAAAAATATTCTGCAGGTTCTAATTTCCCATTTATGATTAATTTTCTGTTTGAATTCATTTTCAGCCAAGCTTTGAAAGTTTGAAGACGTTTATTCCAACTGCCTCTGCAAAGTCTCCTGGATGTACCCATAGCTTCATCAAGTTAACTGCCCTGTTTCCTGCCAATGCAAAACTGTAATAAAATAACAGGCTCAAGTTTTCCCTCTCCGGACATCCACCTCCTTAGTGACTTCTTTCACAAAAACAGATTCCATCCTGCTTCTCCCACAAATGCAGGACAACTAACTTCAGTCCAGCATCTCACATGAGAAAAAGCTGTAGGAGGATGTACATATTCTACTCATATAAAGGCCTAGAAGATAGTGGAGAATTTAACTGAAATTTGGCATTTGGTTGCCAGCTATAATCACTGATTTGGTTCTCACATCTTTCTTTTCCCAAAATGTTATCTAAAGAACATTGTTTAAAGATCTGCGATTCCATATGTTTCATATGTTCTCAACATAGATGGATAGTCCTTGGTCATGCAGTGAGTCTTAACTTGATCAACATTTTAAACTACTGTGTTGTTAACAAGACCAGAAGATAAACAGTACTGCTTGAAATGTGTAGTTCTCAAAAGGAATTAGGAGAGCAGAGCAGCTTCCACTCGAACTATTTCTGGTTTAGAATCTGTGTCTTTTGCTGACATACATTCTACTGTAAAATGCTCTGTCTTAAAAAAAAAAAAAAAAAAGAAAAAGAAATTAATGATCCTGCTTATGGTATAAGATTGCACTTAGTATAAATACAGGTAACCACATCTACCTTCTAATGAAAAAGAACTGTCTGAGAAAAGGGCTTAATTTACAATAATAGATATCCGAGGTGGAAGGTCCTAGCATTTGGAAACTTTGTTTTCAATAACATGTGAGAAACTGAAGATTTCCTAGGCAAAAATAGAAGTCAGGCAAACAACTTTCCTTCGGACTCTCTTTCAGAGAAAAATGACCATTAGCATAATGAACATAAAATACCCACTTCTGCAACCTTTTGGAAGCAGTTCTTCTGTGCAGTCAACAGTGGGACTAAATATTATTTTAGTCTCACCTTACAAGGGTTTCACATTCCAGTCCTCTTTTAGTAAGGAAGCTGCTGTTATAATTTAGATCCCAAGTCCCAGAGTCTTTGGCACAGAATAATTTCAACACACATTTCTGATTCATTCATTTCAGTGGCATTTCTTCTAGTATGAAAGAAGAGTATTAAATTAAAAGCCTGGTTTCACAATTCAGAGTGCTTATTGTTTCAGTTGGGTTTTTTCTCATTCTTCTCCACCACTTTTTTCCTCCATGGTATATTGCCTCTCATTTGGATACATCTCTACTAATAAAGTAAGCAATGCCAGGACATAAATGTCAGTGCTGGAACATGACTTACTGCACTCTTAAACAATCAGCGCAGGTCCAAGTAATGAATATAATGCAATAGATAATTCAGTGTTGTTATCATTAAGAAAATGGGTAAACCCATTCCCCCCCACTCCTAAAATATCCATTTACTACAAGTAATGGGTCTAGAAATCTATACCCTCCCATCATAATCCATACCACAAGAACTGATTTCTCAGTCACTCACAAAAGAAAAGATTAGTGTAATGAGGTAAAAATCAGGTCTCATACATCTCACCCATGAAGATGCAGGGAACTAAAGCTCAATAAACCTCATTTGGATATCTAGGAAGATAATGGACCAAATTTTTACCAGTCATTTTGTAGCAGTAGAGTATAAAATATCAGCATGGATTCGTCATAAGCTGATCTTGCCAAACCAAACTTTCTTCTTCAATGAGTAACTCGGAGAAGTGAATGGTTTTTTGGCTTTGGTAGTGTGTTTGACAAAGCTGCAAGAGACATTTGTAAATGAGGGAGATGTGGTTCAGATGAAAGTGATAAGACACGGCACATGCACACTGTTGAACACACACATCAATGATGCTTTTGTGCAGGGGGCAGGGATGGAGGCCTCTGGCAATGCAGGTCAGTGTCTGCACAGAAGTACAGTACCCACATCCAGAGCTCGTATGTGATGTCTATGACGTTCCACAGCCACAAGTCACAATCATGGTAGAAGACAGCTTTTACCAACGTATGGAAAACCTTCACTGAATGCTTTTCTTGGGTAAAGGAGGGTTGGATCTGCCTTTGCATTTGTGACAAGTACATTCAGGACATTGTCTTAGACAAAACCAAATTCTAGATTCCCAGATTACTTCCAAAGAACATTATGAGCCGATTCTGTTTGAAGAAGAATGCCAGAATTTTAATCCATTACAGTTTAGTATAAAATGAGTAACTGGTACTTAGGAGAGAGAAGATCTGGAGAGGTAATGACAATCGATAGATCGATGATGGCATAAACAACTTCTGGAGCAGTTCCAACTGCTTTTGGAGCAGCTTTCTGACTGGAAAGGGGGAAACATAGCCCCCATCTTTAAAAAGGGAAAAAAGGAAGACCCAGGGAACTTCAGGCCAGTCAGTCTCACCTCTGTGCCCAGCAAGATCATGGAGCCAATCTTCCTGGAAACTATGATAAGGAACATGGAAAATAAGGAGGTGATTTGTAACAGTCAATACGGCTTCACTAGGGGCAAATCATGTCTGTCAAATTTGGTAGCCTTCTACAATGAGATTATGGCATTGGTGGATAAGGGAAGAGCAACTGATGTCATCTACTTGGACTTCTCCAAAGCATTTGACACTGTTCCACATGACATCCTTGTCTTTAAACTGGAGAGACATGGATTTGATGAATGGACCACTCAGTGGGTAAAGAATTAGCTGAATGGTCGCACCCATTCTGTTACTAAGAAGACTAAGTTACTAAAGACTAAGGTAGAGTTGGGGTTGTTCAGCCTGGAGAAGAGAAGGCTCTGGGGACACTTTCTAGCAGCCTTCCAGTACCTAAAGGGGCTACAAGAAAGCTGGAAAAGGACTTTTGACAAGAGTATGTCATGATAGGACAAGAGGTAATGGCTTTAAACTGAAAGAGGGTTGAGTTACGTTAGGTATAAAGAAGAAATTCTTCCCTGTGAGGGTGGTGAGGCACTGGAACAGGTTGCCCAGAGAAGTTGTGGCTGCCCCATCCCTGGAATTGTTTAAGGCCAGTTTGAATGAGACTTTGAGCAACTTAATGTAGTGGAATGTGCCCCTGTCGATGTCAGGGGGGCTGGAACTAAATGATCTTTAATGTTCAAACCATTCTATGATTCTAAACCCAAAACGTCCTGTGCAGAGACATTAAGTTTCTCTTGTTTGTTTCAGGGTATTTTATATTCTTTTTCTCTTCAACGTGACATATCTTTGATGGGTGAAGTACAGAATGCTTTCCTCATCTATCCCAAATAACATTTAACTCAATGCTCACAGTACCTTCTTAATAAACACTGACTTTATTGCAGACTGGGATTGTATCAGGTTTCCTGTTCCCCTGACAAATTCTGTCACTACAAAGCAAATTGGTAAAAAGTAGACCTCCACTAGTACTTTTTTTCATTCAAGCATATTTCAGAAGGAATACGGCTATGACTGCTGCTTTATGTGAGATCCAGCTACTGATGTTTCTAAGGCATGAGAAAGTTTTAGTGACTGACTCTGGTGTCAAATAGTCGTGTTGCAACCAGGCAGTGCTGATAAAAGACTTAAAAGCCATTATAATATATACATCACGATGTGTTGCAAGGCAGCGTGCCTTGTCCCTGATAGCTGCCTGTGGTCACTGGGCTCCCCACATCAGAGCATGCATTTCTCCTAGCACATCCTCTTCTGGGTCATTTCACCTTTCAAGGTGAAACCCTTGAAACCCTTCCTACCTTTACCAAGGATCCAGAGCAGACAAGAAGCTACCATGGGATAGTCTGTAGAAAGAAGTCATTTTCTATTCCTTCTTTTCACCTACTGCTGATGGGACTCTCTGCAGATAGCTGGCTGCTCTAGGACGAGACCTGAATTATGTCCCATATCATGGTCTGCTTATTCACAATGGAAAAGTACACAGTTTAGAATGGAATGAAATGGAGTGGAAGAATAGAATAGAATAGAATAGAATAGAATAGAATAGAATAGAATAGAATAGAATAGAATTGGATTCAGTTGGAAGAGATCTACTCAGTCCAACTGCCTGACCATAAATTAGTTCAGAACTAGTTCCTCTCTAAACTGCAAGAGTTGTCTCACTTGTGCAATGGTTTAACAGGAACAGCATAACTTGATGATATGCACAGTTCAGCTAAGGCAGTATCTTTTCTCTCGCTGTTATAAAAATAATGTCCTTTAATGGAAAGTAGAAAAATCCTGTGGCAGGCAGAACTGAGCTTGCTCTTTCCCCAGATTTAATATGTAACAGTCATGACATCCTTTTAGCACTGAAGCAGAAGCTTTAATGTCATTTTGAAAATGTATCATTAGTTATGAAACATCTGGATATGTGTGCGGCCTTCTGAAAGCTGTAAGACGGATGTATTTTACACCTCTCATGCTGTAAGCCTTGATTCACTTATTTTTCAGAATTTGAAGACATGTTCTTGAAACCTGCAAAGCAAAATACGCAGTACACTTTTAAATGTGTGCCTAGAGCATTGATTGATTTGACTCTTTGAAGTGTTACAACAATCTTTCATTGATGAGGATGGGAAAATGGTGAAGTCTTGTTATGTGTGGTGGGTTTGAAAAAACCCTTCTGAAACTGTGTATTGCCTCTCACTTAGACTCTCTCCTGGCTGCATGGTGCAACAGTTCTTTCCCAAAACTGAAGAAAAAGATACTGTGTGTGCTTTAAAGTAGCGTTTGTTCTCTGCAAAAGGGAATTGAAAGAAATAAGATGTGAGTTCATCTGAGCAAAATAAATGCAAGAAGGATCTCTAATTTTTAAATAACACCCTCGTCACAGAGCTAACTTTCCTTAAACCAATGAATGTTTTGAATTCATCGGCATGTGGCAGGACAACACTGTTTAACAGTGCATCTGTACGTCCAATAGGCTTTATAACAGAAGAAAATTTTAAGTAAAGGGCAATGTATTCCAAAAATTGGCGAGACCTATCATAACTTCCAAATTGTATATGGTGTAATCAACAGGAGGATAAAAATGACCTCATGTTGTCCCTCTTCAAGACTATTTTCTCACAACTGGGCTTTTTTTTTTTTCCT